GTTTGGCGGGTCCGGGCTGGGGATTCGAACCCACCACCTTAGGTGTACGTGGCTGGCGCCTTAGCCGGTTGAGCTATAGGTGCCGAGCCGACTGAATGGATCTTAAATGACAATTCATAGGTTCTTCAGAATTCTTTCCACTCTTCCCCAAAAGATAAATAATATCTGTAAGATATAAGGACATTACCTTAATATATTCATTTTGGGTATGATGATTCTCATGCATAACTGGCAAACCTTTTCCAATTTTATCTTCTTTCCTCTTACACTGCACACTACATTGCTTAATCTTTGACATCAAATGATCCTTTTCAAGCATCCATGACTTCTCTTTATTTTGGTTTTCAAATTTGAGCTGTAAAAAATCTTTGGTGCTCTCATAAAGAAGTTCTTGGGTGTGATGAAGACTACAAAGGAAAGCACATGTGTGGACATGAGGATACTTACATAGCACATCTGAAATAAAGGGTTATTCCAAAAGAAATTTTATTTATCATTTATTTTTGCCTCACTGCTTCCAGATTGTCTTAAATTTGTACAAAATATAAATTTTACAAAATATTATTAGCAGTTTTAAAAATAAACTTAGTCTGATAATTGGCAACCTTACGTGTTTTACTGGGCAAAGGGCAATATATCATTTTTTTCTTTTTTTTTGAGACAGAATTTTACTATGTTGCCCTCGGTAGAGTGCCATAGCGTCACAACTCACAGCAACCTCAAACTCCTGGGTTTAAGTGATTCTCTTGCCTCAGCCTCCTAAGCAGCTGGGACTACAGGTGCCCACCACAATGCCCACCTATTTTTTTAATTGCAGTTGTCATTGTTGCCCAACTGGCCCAGGCCGAGTTTGAACCCACTAGCCTTGGTGCATGTGGCCTGCGCCATAACCACTGGGCTATGGGCGCTGAGCCTAAATACATCTATTCATGCTTACTGATTCATAGACTGGCTTTATAGGCATTTTCCTGAGTACTAGTTTCAGGTTATATGATTAAAAGGATTACACAAATACATACAGCCTGCATAAGTAGACTATTTTCAAGAATAATACAAGGAAGAATTAAGAATTAATTCATGGATGGGTGGCACCTATGGCTCATAGGAGTAGGGTGCCAGCCTCATATGTTGGAGGTGGCAGGTTCAAACCTAGCCCCGGCGGAAAAAAAAAAAAGAATTAAATCATGGTGTTCTGATTGAGGGTTAACACAAGTTCTAAATTATCAAAAATAGCTTTGCTTTTGTTTATGCTGTGCTCCAAGTATAACTGCCCTATATCAAAATCTTGCCCTTTTTTTTTTTTTTTTTTTTTTTTGTAGAGACAGAGTCTTACTTTATT